TTCTTCACCCAAAGAGTGATTAACACATGGAATTCACTGCCACAGGAAGTGGTGGGTGCTACAAGCATGGACGGCTTCAAAAGGGAATTAGATAAGCATATTGAGCAGAGGTCCATCAGTGGCTATTAGCCGCAAGGTATAGATAGGGGCTCTGGGGCAAGTGATGCTCTGTCTTCTTGGTGCTTGGGGGGGTCAACAGTGGGATGGCTTCAGATGTCCTGGCCCCACTGGTGGACCTCCTGATGGCACTGGTATTTCTGGCCACTGTGTGATACAGAGTGTTGGACTGGATGGGCCTTTGGCCTGATCCAACATTGGCATCTCTTATGTTCTTATGTTCTTAGGAGGCTAAAAAACTGAGAGCTGGCTCACAATAACTCAGCTTAGAGGGAACACCGGTGGCTACCCCCCCCCCCACTACATTCTCAGCCCTCAGACCGGGGGGTCCCCAACCAGCGCCTATGGGCACATAGCACCCACTGACTCCTTTCCCAGAGCCTGCCAGATGTTTTCAGAAACTGGGCTGGGCCGGGTGGGGTAGAATTTCTGACTGGCCATTGCGGGTTTGATGGGCCGTGCAGGTTTTTGTGACTGAAGGTCAGCTGCAGCCGCCATTTTGTGACTGGCTCCGCCTTCTCCTGCAGCCATGTTGTGGCCGCTCCCACCACGCTGTGTCAGAATTCCACAGGCGCCCACAGACTCCAAAAGGTCGGGGGACCCTCTTTGACAGACTCACACCTCTCCATCAGTAAGGATGGCAGGAGAGTCAGGCAGGCCCCTATCTATGAGGGGGCTAATAAGGGCAACGCCTCCTCCCAAATGTGCCCTGCCCCCTCACCAAACAGCTACAGCTTTCCCCTCTCTGGCAGGGCTACCTTTCTATTCAAGCTGGTGAGGGGGCAAGGCACAGTTTGGCGCAGCGCTTAAGAGCAGCGGTCTCTAATCTGGGAGAACCAGGTTTGATCCCCCACTCCTCCACATGCGGCCAGCTGGGTGACCTTGGGTCAGTCACAAGTTCTCTCAGAGCTGTTCTTTCAAGAACAGTTTCTGTCAGGGCTCTCTCAGCCCCGCCTACCTCGCAGGGTGTCTGTTGTGAGGAGAGGAAGGGAAAGGAGACTGTAAGCCGCTCTGAGACTCCGAGTGAAGGGCGGGGTACAAATCCAATCTCTTCTTCTTTTCCTCTCCAACCTCGGCCAGCTAGCTTCCTTTTATCCCCAGCCCTATTCCTGACTCCTCCCTCCCTCCTATTGGCTTTTAGCTCTGTCAATTAGGGCTGGACTCTCTCTTTTTAGGGACGCCCCTCCCCCTGGATCAGGCACCTCGCCCACATGGGGAAGCCACTCGCAGATATACAGAGCTGCAAAGGTCCGGCATGCCTGCCCCAGCCCGCCCTTCCCAACTTTGCACTAGAGCTGCGGCAGCCCCCCACCTTGGCCCAGCTCCACGAGGTCGTTGCCGCCTGGCCCGCCCCGGGAGCGCCAGCGCTGGAGGAGGCCTCGGCCCGGCCATCACCACCTCCCTCGCACTTTCCTTGTCCCCCGCCTTGCCGGCATGTAAGCAGTCGGGACTGGGGTCCTCGGGGTGGGTGCAGCCCAGGCTCGGGGCTTCGGGCACTGCCCCCTCACCAAACAGCTACAGCTTTCCCCTCTCTGGCAGGGCTACCTTGCTATTCAAGCTGGTGAGGGGGCAAGGCACAGTTTGGCGCAGCAGTCAAGAGTGGCGGTCTCTAATCTGGGAGAACAGGGTTTGATCCCCCACTCCTCCACATGCGGCCAGCTGGGTGACCTTGGGTCAGTTACAAGTTCTCTCAGAACTGTTCTCTCAAGAATAGTTTCTGTCAGGGCTCTCTCAGCCCTGCCTACCTCACAGGGTGTCTGTTGTGAGGAGGGGAAGGGAAAGGAGACTGTAAGTTGCTCTGAGACTCCGAGTGAAGGGCGGGGTACAAATCCAATCTCTTCTTCTTTTCCTCTCCAACCTCGGCCAGCTAGCTTCCTTTCATCCCCAGCCCTATTTCTGACTCCTCCCTCCCTCCTATTGGCTTTTAGGTCTGTCAATTAGGGCTGGACTCTCTCTTTTTAGGGCCGCCCCTCCCCCTGGATCAGGCACCTCGCCCATGTGGGGAAGCCACTCACAGATATACGGAGCTGCAAATGTCCGGCATGCCTGCCCCAGCCTGCCCTTCACAACTTTGGACTAGAGCTGCGGCAGCCCCCCGCCTTGGCCTTGCTCCATGAGGCCGCTGCCGCCTGGCCTGCCCCGGGAGTGCCAGCGCTGGAGGAGGCCTTGGCCCGGCCATCACCACCTCCCTCGCGCTTCTCTTGTCCCCTGCCTTGCCGGCATGTAAGCAGTCACGCTTCCCTTGTCCTCCGCCTTGCCGTCATGTAAGCAGTCGGGACCGGGGTCCTCGGGGTGGGTGCAGCCCAGGCTCGGGGCTTCGGGCACTCGGCTGGCCGCCTCCTGGGAGGCAGAGGAGCGGGATGGCCCCAACCCACAGACACTAAACACCATTTCAATTGGCTAGCTCTCCTCCATGTGCTCCTCCCCTCCCCAGGGAGGAGCCTTGGGCGCCGGGGCGACTGTACTTGCCGGCAGCATCATCACACGGCCCGGCTCTGTTGTATTTATTTGTTTGTGCAAATAAATAAATAGATAACGATGTGTTCACCACTACCACGCACTCATTTCCCCCCCCCTCCCAAATACTATTTTTTTCTGGCTAAAGCCTGGCCTGGAGTCAGGTCCAGTGTTCCCTCTAGGCTGAGTTTAGTGTGAACCAACTCACAGTTTTTTAGCCTCCGGCTCACACATTTTTGTCTTGGCTCAGGAAGGGATGGCTCCAGAGCAAACTTAACTCATGCAGCTGCCAAATCACTCGCTCGCAACTTTATTGCCGGTAGCTCACAAAGTAGGATTTTTGCTCACAAGACTCCACAGCTTAGAGGGAGCACTGGCTCAGGCCGGGACAAGATCTTTGCAACAGAGATTTGGGGGGGCCGGGTGGATACCTTAAAAAAAGTCCAGTCGATCCCACATCTCAAGCCTTGTAGATCAGAGGCGAGGATTTCAGAGAGGGATGGTTTGGGCTGGCCTAATCCTGGGAACGATTAAACAAAAACGGAAACCGAATTTAAAACAGGCACGCCGTTTCACAAAGCGAAAGAAGAATTCCCGGGAGGGAGCCGACGAGACTCACCGTATGGATACAGAGGATCCGGGCCTGCCAGGACAGAATACGCGACAGCTGCATCCGTCACCGAAGCACAGAGTGGGCCTGGCCAAGAGAAAACACAGCAGGTGAGTGATCCCCAGCCCCAAAGATATCCGGCTGTCCTCGACCAGAGGCAGGGCCTTCTCGGCCCTGGCTCCGACCTGGCGGAACACTCTGCCCACTTCCACCAGGGCCCCGCGGGACTTCATGCCATTCCACAGGCCTGTAAGGCAGAGGTGTCCTGCCAAGCTTTCAGCTGAGGGCAGCGACGGTTTCCCATCCTAGCTGGCACCCTCTTTCCTGTCCTTCCATTCCGCCCGCTTCGGCCTCTTCCTTGACCTGCCCACGAGACAGAAGAACAGTCCAGAGTAGGTTTTAGATTAAATTAGGAAAGCCACCTGGAGATGGTCAAATTAGGAATGATTGGTCTGCTGATTTTCATCTGTATTTTTTGCATATTTTAAAGTAAAGGTAAAGGTTTCCTGTGCTCGAAAGCCAGTTGAATCCGACTCTAGGGTTGTGGCGCTATCTCCATTTCCAAGCTGAAGAGCCAGCGCTGTCCGAAGATGTTTTCGGTGGTCATGTGCCCGGCATGACTGAATGCCGGGGCACACGGAACGCTGTTACCTTCCCACCTGTTTATCTACTTGCAATGTCTTGCCTTCAAACTGCTAGGTTGGCAGGAGCCGGGGCCGGAGACGGGAGCTCACCCCGTCACACGGCACTCGGGTCTCGAACTGCCTCTTAACCTGTGAGCCACTGCGGCCCCTCCAGTATGTTTTTAACCTGTTGTAAATCACCCAGAGCCCTGCGCACTCAGGGACTGGGCGATTCAGAAATTCAACAAACAACAACGGCACATGCGAGGATCTCAAAGGAAGTTCCGCTTTCTTTTTTTAACATGGTGAGTTTCTAGCCCCTCCGATTCTGGAGACCCATCCAGAAAACAGGCAAAAGACCAGGACTATTTTTTGGGGGGAACGCACAGGAACCGAGTTCCAGCTGGCTTCAGAGTTGGCCACGCCCACTACAGCCAAAACCTCTGTGGGCCTGGTTACAGAGGGGAGTCCCGGAGAGCGACACACACACATCCCGGCGACTCCCAGGTGGGCGGGCCAGGGGGGCCCCTGGAAGGACTGGGGAGGCATTTAAGTGCCTCCCCGTGCCTTCCCCGGCCTGTCAAAGGGCCGGCTTGCCCGGGCTCCCTGCTGTCACGGGGCGCCTGGACAAGCCAAGAGAAGGCATGGGGTGTGGCCTAATATGCTAATGAGCGGTGTTGTCAGGGGTGTGGCCTAATATGCTAATGAGCCATGTTGTTGGGTGTGGCCTATTATGCTAATGAGTTCCTGCTGGGCTTTTTCTACAAAAAAGCCCTGCAAAAGACTAAGGTGGCAGAGTGGACCTTCACCACTGCCGATGTGCGATGGGCAAAGGGAAGTGTATCTTGGACTGCCCCTTTGTGCAAAAATGCTCCTCAGGAGTAAAAGACTAGAAGAGCAGGCAAAAGGGTCGGGCTAGAACGAGGATCCCCAGTGCCCAGGAAACTGGGCAGGGCCAGGTGGGGCTTTTACCCAGCAGGACTTCTGATTGGCCGCTGGAGACCTGATTGACGGTTCTGTGGCAAGAGGCACCAGGTGTCCCCAACATGGTGCCCATGGGCGCATGGCACCCCCTGAAACCTTTCCTGGCATTTGCCAAATTTATTTTTTTTCAGAACTTGGGCGGGGCCAGGTGGTTCTTTTGCCCAGCAGAATCACTGACTGGCCACTGAAGGTTTGATTGACTGATTGAGCAGATTTTTAGGAAACGCTGCTTGGGCGGCAGCTGCGACCACGGCACAGGGATCTCCACTGTGTGATTGAAAATACGCTGCGGCAGCCATTCTGTGGCTGGCTCCGCCTTCTCCTGCAGCAGCCCTTTGGTGGCTGCGCCCATCCCACTGTGCTAAAGGTGCCCACAGGCTCAAAAGGGCTGGGGACCCCCTGGGCTAGAATCAATTCCCCCTGGGGGGTGTTCCCCCCCCCACGTGGGAGAGCATTCAGATACAAAACCCCTCACGGTCTGAGGGTCCATTCTACCATCCCTGAATTCTTCCACCGTATTCCAGCCTCCATTAGAAAGTGGGCAGAAACCCCTGCCGGAGTGCTCAAGGGTCAGGGGTGGCACTTGGGTGCTCCGTGACTTGCCCGTCCCAAACTAAGGCCAAGTTCCCAATTAGGAAAAAATTGAACTTGCAGATTTAGAAAACGCATCTTGCAATGAGCAAGTTGACATAAAGTAAGGAACTGATAGATAACTATTGATTTGCGATGCTCTCTCTTATGAAGGATCTATACATAATCTGCCACATGCAGAAACTCTCTCTCTCTCTCCCTCCCTCCTTCTCCCCGCATACCTATGACACACGTATTTTCTGCAACTGAATACAACCACCCTTGCAAAGAGACCTCCTTACCCAGACCAACGGTGGAATAGGAGAGCGGGTGACAGCCATGGCCACTGATACGTCCAAATGTACCTTTGGGTAAGAAAGGACAAGGCTGGTTAAATGCACAAAGCAGCCCAGCCAAGAAATGGGGGAGGGCAGAAAGGCGGAAAGGCGGGGGTGGGCTGAGGGCAGGGGCCTAGGGGAGGGGAGGCGGAAGCAGTACCGGCTGCCAGGGCCTTCTCTGCCCCAGTCCTGAGATATGCAGAGAGAAGAGACTGGATTTATCCCCCACCCTTCACTACCCGAAGGAGTCTCAGAGCGGCTTATAGTCTCCTTTCCCTTCCCCCTCCCCACGACAGACACCCTGTGAGGTAGGCGGGGTTCAGAGAGCTCTCTCACGAACTGTCCTTGAGAGAACAGCTCTGAGAGAACCTGTGACTGTCCCAAGGTCACACCAGCTAGCTGCACACGGAGGAGTGGGAGAATCAAACCCGGTTTTCCCAGATTAGAGTCCGCGCTCCTAACCACGACACCAAGCTGGCTCTCTGAAGGTGGCCTTGATCCAAAAGAGTAGGTCAGGATGGAGCCCTGGGTTCGGATTCAGGGGGCCAGAATGAAAAGCTCAGATCAGTTGTGAAGCTCCCCCAGGAGACGTGAAGGGTGGGAAAGAATTCTCAGCTGAGCGAATGGGAGGGAAACTGGCCCAGTCCTTCCCGTTTCTCAGCAGCCGATGTCCCTCTGCAGTCTCCTTTTCCCTCTCCCCACCCACCCATTTGGGGGGGCTCAGTATTCCCAGGTGAATGAGCACGGCTTACCTTTCAGTCCCACAACCCCGCAGAAGGAAGCCGGGATCCTCACAGAGCCGCCCCCATCTGTGCCGACAGCCAATGGGCAAAGACCTAACGGGGAAGCGTTTCTGTGAGATTGAAGGGAAGCCGTGCCTCACCCCGGATGTCCCCGGAGTCCATCAAGGTCAGCGTTGTCTACTCAGACTGGCAGCTGCTCTCCAGGGTCTCGGGCAGACGCCTTTCCCGCCACCTCCTGCCTGGTCCTTTTAACTGGAGATGCCGGGGGTTGAACCTGGGACCTTCCGCATGCCAAGCAGAGGCTCTGCCACTGAGCCACCGCCCCAGTTGGCACCTCCCTCGTAGCCTCACCTGCTGCCACGGCGGCCGCGGAGCCGCTGGAGCTCCCGCCAGTGAAATGCCGGGGGCTGTAGGGGTTCCTAGGTGTCCCGTGGTACCTGGAAGTTGGCAAAGGGAAGAGAGAAAGCCTGAAAGGCAGGGCCCCCACAGGCTGCAGGGGTTCCGAAGGGCAAGTTCCGCTCAAGCGGGGTGCCGGCCAGGAGCATCACGCCTAGGTGTCCCGTGGTACCTGGAAGTTGGTAAAGGGAAGAGAGAGAAAGCCTGAAAGGCAAGGCCCCCACAGGCTGCAGGGGTTCCGAAGAGCAAGTTCCGCTCAAGCGGGGGTGCCGGCCAGGAGCGTCACAGAGAGCCTGCCCCAGGTAACAGCCAACAACGTCTTGCAGCTGCATATCACAAGGAATGATCGGTTGTGATGGACTTTGTCCTTCAGGGAGCCAGATGAGCTCTCTCACCGAGGCCCACCTGGTTGGTCAGAAGGCCGCAGAATGCAAGCTACCTTACCTGTTGGGGTTACAGCCTGTGGTCCCGGTGCCCAACTCATGCATGTTGGAGACACCAATAATTATGGCGCCAGCCTCCCGCAGCTTCCTAGTCACTGTGGCGTCCTCCGCCTCCGGCTTTGTGCCCAGGTATTCCGTTCCACTTCGATGGTGATACGGCACCTAGTTTTTGGGGTGTTTTTTTAAAAAGGGAGGTATCTAGAGAGAGAGAGAGCTACGATTCCTGATTGAATCCACAACAGTTCCCAACCAATGCTCCCGCTAAGCAGTGGAGTCTTGTGAGAAAAAAATTCTACTCTGTGAGCTACTGGCATTAAGGTTGTGCACGAGCAATTTGGCTGCTGCGTAGATTAGTCTGCTCTGGAGCCCTCCTGCCTGAGCTGAGACAATAACGTGTGAGCCAGAAGCTAAAAAACTGTGAGCTGGCTCACACTAACTCAGCTTAGAGGGAACACAGTTCCTAACCAACCCTATCCAAGTTCAACAGGCCGGTTGAACATTCCTCCCCCCCAATTCCCAGGGGCAGTGTCAGACTCCTGGGTAAATTAGTTCCCAGCAACATTCACTCTGAATATAGATATACAAGGTTCAAGCAAGGGCCCTGAAATGCCAGGACCAATCACTCCTTAGGATTCCACCCGCCAAAAGCAAGGGCCAGTAAGCCCTTTCACTCTGCCACCCCACCCCCCCAATATGTACAATAAAGCCGAGTGGAGAAAGCTGAGACCCAAGGACCTGAGTTCTCAGAGGTGATAAGAGGCCTGGTACTTCAAAGCAAAGGTCTACCCCAAAGCGAAAGCCTTTCAGTTCACACTCTCCCGCACTCCCTCCCCGGTTGCTATGGCGAATGAGCTGTAAAATGCACAGCGAGTTTGACCACCGCCAGCTTAATTCAGCGAAGGCAAACCCGCGTAGGGCATGTACCACTTTGATCTCCTCCTTCAGGCACATGGGGATTCCATCCAGAAGAGACAGCGGCTGCTTGCTTCTGTACCCCCTCCCCGGTTGCTATGGCGAATGAGCTGTAAAATGCACAGCGATTTCGACCAGCAGCTTAATTCAGCAAAGGCAAACTAGCGTAGGGCACGTACCACTTTGATCTCCTCCTTCAGGCACACGGGGATTCCATCCAGAAGAGACAGTGGCTGCTTGCTTCTATAGCGGGCGGTAGAGGCTTCGGCCATCTGAACAAGGAGAGAGTTCAAAAGTCAGCCGTGTAATATGTCATTACGTCCAAATCTGAACCTGCCGTAGACTGAGGATCAAAAAATCCACACAACAGAGCCAGGGATAGAGAAGGGAGGGATCTTTATACAGTGCCAGGTTTGCAGAAAAATCTTAAATCTGTATATTTGAGGATTAAGCCCCCTCCCAAAAAACAGAGACTGACCCAAGGTCACATCAGCAGGTGCAAGTGGAGGAGTGTGGAATCAAACTTAACCACGACACCAAATTAGAGTCCACTACACCAGATTAGAGTCCGCACACTTAACCACTACACCAAACTGGCTTGTAGCAAACACTTGTAGCTTCAAAACTAAATGAATGACCACTGAAGTATCATTCACAAGACTGCTTTCTGAGATCATGGTGGCCATTTGGGGAGTTGCGAGCAGGACTCCCTCTAAGCTGAGTTAGTGTGAGCCAGCTCACAGTTTTTCAGCCTCTGGCTCACATCTTTTTGTCTTCGCTCAGGAAGGATGGCTCCAGAGCAAACTAATTTAGGCAGCAGCCACATTGCGCGCTCAGAACTTTCATGCCAGCAGCTCACAAAGTAGAATCTTTGCTCACCAGACTCCACAGCTTAGAGGGAGCATTGGTTGCGAGACAGTCATAACATAAGAACATAAGAGACGCCAATGTTGGATCAGGCCAAAGGCCCATCTAGTCCAACACTCTGTCACACAGTGGCCAAAAATACCAGGTGCCATCAGGAGGTCCACCAGTGGGGCCAGGACATTAGAAGCCCTCCCATAACAACATGGCTGAGCATTGGTTTCTATCAGTCAAAGGAAGGAGTGGACTTGGAGGCCAAAGCAGCCCCAGAAAATGCACTGTCCCTCTGCTGCCACATCTCCAGAGGGAGGGAGAACCCACGGGAGCCGGGCTCAGTGGCAACCGCCAGGTTAACTCACTGCCACACACCTTGGCCCTCCCTCAGGCAACACATCACCATACAACTCAGATGGGCCCAGGGAGAACCACCATGCAGCTCACCAAGGCAGCCATGTGATTGACCCAGACCTAGCAGAGGCCACTGAACCACTCAGTCACTCAGTACTGTGCAAATCATCTGGGCCTGGAGGCGGCCACAGAACGCATTGCTGCCGCCATCAGATATCTCACCTGGGTGACTGGCTACTATGCAACTAATACAACTTGCCTGGTCCCAATGGTGACTCACTACAGAACCATTTTTGCAAGTCGGCTGGAGAGACTGCCAGGGGGAGGTAAAAAGGGAAAGCAGAGGATGGAGGAGGAGCAGATGAAGCCAGGTTGGGGTGCGAGAGAAGAAGGCAGAAGGGGAAAGGGAGAGGCTGCGCAGGCTGGCGGGGGGGGGAAAGAGGAGGGAGCGTGGGTAAGGAGGTTACAGGGGGAAATGTGAATAGCATCCCCCTTCTCCAGTCCTTGCGGATCTCCCGCTCCTGTTAATATACATGAACAAAGATAGAGAACAATTGAACACAAGGACAGGCCAAGGTACTCCCAACATAATCGTAACCAGACAGCTGGATTTGAGAACTCCAGAACAGAGATCAAGCACTGATCGACTCCCATCTTCAGAGATTGTATCACGCGTGTGAGAACATTTTCCCGTAAACAAACGGCACTTCTTCCAAGGGAAGCTGCATACCTTGAGTATCTCATCCCGATCCCACTGAACAATCGCTCGGAATGGGGGACTCGATTTCCCAGCATCCTCTAGGGCAGCAAGAATGTTCTTGGCAACCTGAAGGGGTGTTACCTCCCCCGATCTAGGAAACAGGTAAGGGTCAAGGCAGGGATAATTCGGCCTCTTCTCCCTCAAGGTCAGGGCCGCAAGTTCCAGGGCCACAAGTTCATTCATGCACCACACGCATCAAGGTGAGATATTATAATGCACGGGTTGAAGGGCTGGTCCAAAAGGCGGCAGCCCAACTGCCAGTGAGGACAAGCCGCAACAAATGAGTTAGCCCCATACTTGGCGGTGGAAAGAGCCATCAAGTCGCAACTAACTTATGGCAACCCTGCAGGTTTTTCAAGGCAAGAGATGTTCAAGACTGCCTGCCCTCACATAGCAACCCTGGAGGAAGAAGGAGGAGGAGGAGGAGGAGGATGGATTTATACCAGACCCTTCACTCTGAGTCTCAGAGCAGCTTACAAACTCCTTTCCCTTCCTCTCCCCACAACAGACACCCTGTGAGGTAGGTGGGGCTGAGGGAGCTCTTTCAAGAACCGCCCTTGAGAGAACAGCTCTGAAAGAACTTGTGACTGACCCAAGGACACCCAGCTGGCTGCATGGAGAGGAGTGGGGGATCAAACCCGGTTCTCCCAGATTAGAGTCCGCGCACTTAACCACTACACGAAGGCTGCCCGTGCATGTACTAACCAGGTTCAGCCTCACTTTGTTTCCGAGATCTGAGAAGATCATACTAGCGTGGGCCCTCCAGGTCAGGACAGGCCCTTATTACAAGGTCAAAAACAAAGCAGAATCCAGCATGGCAGACATTTCAACAGACTTGTTTTTCACCTATATTGCCCTCCAGAATACCTGGAGGATACCTGGAGGAGAACCAGTGTTCTACGTAGGGCCAAAGTAGGGCTGTGGTGTGGCTTCAGATGATCGATTAACTCTGGCTAGTTTCACAAAAACATGGTTTTGCACTGCATCAGAGCCAACCCACAGACAAGAGGTCCTCCAGAACAGAGACAGTTTCACTTTGCTTACCGGTAGCTGTTCAAATATTCCTGGATCCCTCGGAAACTGAAGGCATTGCTGGTAGAATGGGAACTGTGAAGAGAAAAGGGAAAGGCAAGAGCTGAGAGGGAACCGGTTGGCCCCGCTGGTGGACCTCCTGATGGCACCTGGGTTTTGGCCACTGTGCGACACGGACTGGATGGGCCCCATCCAACATGGCTTCTCTTACGTTCTTATGTTAAAACAGTCTGGAAACAGGGAAGCGAGCGGGCGGTGACCTTAACCAAGCATCCCTTCTCTTTCCAGCAATATGTAAGCACACTCTACCAACAACTGCCTGTCCTTCACTTTCCACAGCCCCACTTCAGCTTCCCAGATATCCTCATGAAACGCCCCATATGCCTCTTGGTAGAAAAAAATGCTCAGCTGGGATGAGGTCATGGTAGATCTAGAAGTCAGGCAGTTCCCGGCTATCCCTGGAGAGGCGCAAGTTCGGAGGCTTCAATCTGCCACCACACTTCATGCAGAGGTAGGCAGAAGAGGCCGCTTACAGGCCAGACTTTGGAACGCAAGGCTTCTGAGAGTTGCAAAATATCCCCTCAGGCAGAACAAACAACAGCGAGAGGAGCTGGCAGGGACTTTGGCACACACTCCTCCTCATAAGCTGGGCCAAGCTCTGCTTTTCAGCTATGGCGCCCAAAGAGGCCGCTGCCGTGCCTCGCCCTGCCCACTGAGCACCCAGCATACGCAAGGTCTATCAGGAGGGATCTTCTCACTGAAAGAAAACTCCAAAGGAAGTTTCGAAAACTAGTTAAGGGCCAAAAGTTAAAAAACAACAATAGCTACAGGGGTCATTCCCTGCAGGAGCGCATAGGAGCGGAGCTCCGGCAGTAAAGAGCCCAGGGGGCGGGCACATGCAACAAGCCCCACCCCCTGCTCCCAGCAGCCCTCAGTCAGAGCAAGAAGCAGCCAGGTAAGCTGCAGAGCCCCCCACCCCCCCGTCCAAAAGTCCAGTGGCACCTTTAAGACCAAGTTTTATTCAGGTACAAGCTCTCCCTCCTCTGCAAGGACAGATCTACACGTTCCCCCCCCCCAATAGCTAGCAATCCAAAAGAGTCCAGTAGAGCCTGAGTTGCCTTCTGACACACTTCCGGTGATATCAGGGGGTGTGTCATATGCAAATAAGTTATGCTAATGAGCTCCTGCAACTCTTTTTCTATGAGATGACCCCTGAATAGGTATAGACAAAAGTACACGTGGTTATTTCAAAAACATATAAAGACCTTGTAGGGGCCCAAATCAAGCCTCGTACCATCTTCAAAGCCACAATTGCACACACACAAAAAAAGAACCATATATGACCTGACACGTTTTGGCCCACAAGAGCCTTCTTCAGAGGTCAAATAGTACAGAACATGACAAGCAACGAAGCCTGTTACTCTTGTATGGCAGTAAACGATTGATATAGGACCAAAACTAGAATGTTCCAATCTGGAATTGAATGACACACACACACAAAAATTGTTTGTGGGGCCACAAATGTATCTGGGCTTGTGTCAGAAGCCATTGCATATATTGGAGATAGTCATGTTGCCAATATGTACCTTCCAGTTTAAGTCCTAAGAGTACAAGTAAAATCACCTTCTCTGGGCCAATATGACATCAATGTATGATAATCTTCTCACTGAACTCCTGGAAATGCAATGAGATAGCTGGGGGGGGGGGCGCTACAGACTTTCCCAGTAGGCCCATGTTTCCTTCAGCAACACGAAAACAAATCCCTCCTCCCCACCCGGCACATGCACAATTTCCCTTTGTTCTTCAAACACAAAGGCCACCTGCCACATTTTCAGACCCAGAACTAACTTCCGGCCCCCCAACCACCCGCTGCTTGCCTTGTTTCCAAGAGCCTCCGGAGGATTTCAGAACCGTCTCTCGGTTCCGAAGAGTCTGTTTTTCCTTCCACAGCAACCACTGGGGTGAATGTGGGGTCTTCGGAGATATCGAGGTAACGCAGGATGGTAAAGTTGTTGACTCTGAAAAAGGCAGGAACCTATGAAGGATTTCAGACAGCCTATCTATTCCATTTCAGGAACTGGTTACTAACAGGTTTTTTTCTGTCATTTCAGACAGACCTGTTTTAGTAACTGGCTGTTAACGGAATATATTGACCTGTTCATACAATGCCAGTTGTCTCCCGTTTGGGAAGCATGCCTGAGTCGTTGTTGACGAAAACTGCTTTCCTCGGGTCTTCAATCCCGTCTTCTGGATCTGAATCACTACAGCGGGCTGTGTAAAATACCCCTTAGCACTTCCTACAGCAACGGGTTTTTTTAACCCTTTTCCCCCCGACCTGCAATCTCTCCTCTTTTTTTTTTTTTTAAATGTTCTACTGGGAACGCTATAACGCTATAACAGGATGTCAAATCAGTGTCATAGCGCTCCCAATAAAATGTTTTTTAAAAAACACCTCTCAGGGAGATCATGCACGCAGAGGGAAATAGCAGGAAAAGAAAGCGGCACAGTTTGAAATGGCCACAGCGCTTCAGAGACGGCTCCTTACCGGAAGGGAAATGCTGTGTGAAACAGCTGGTTTCCTCCATGACGGGCCAATAACGGAAACCATGCCATTTAAAAAGGTAATGTGAAATCGACCTCCGAAGGCGGTTGGGGCTCTGGTACCACTAGAGGGGTTCCAAAGCTCCTCCGTGCTCTTTTCCCAATTGAAAATGGCCACCAGCACCCAGGCTGAGGGACCATTAACACTGGGATTATAGCATGGGGGGAGAAGCAGGAGCTAAATCCCCTCCCCCAATGCCCCTGTTCCCATCACATCTAGTGGACTGACAGCTACATTAAGGGCCTAGCAAGAACTTGAGAGATCCAGTCGCGGAGTTCCTCTGTAACTGTGGTGGCGAACCTATGACACGCATGCCAGAGGTGGCACTCAGAGCCCTCTCTGTGGGCAAATCACCGTTGCCCCAGCTGCCCAGGCAGCCCCCATTGGGCAGTTTGAATGGAGGGTGGGGGCCACGCAGACATCGAGCCAGCAGGGGAAGGAGCCCCCATTGGGCCCCACAACTCCCCTTCTCCTCCAAGGCGGCTGACCGCGCCGAGCAGCACCAGCAGCAGCCTGCAGGAGGGAGCGCCTGCTCGAGTGAGTGCGCCTCTCTGTGCCCTGAGCCCCGCCTGGCCGGTGCCTCGCCTCCTCCAAGCCTGCAAGCGAGTGTCCCTCTCCTCCTCCTCCTCCTCCATGCCATCCTCCGTCAACATAGTCCTCTTCGTCCCTGGGAGGGGGAGGGGGCAGCCCAGACTCTGCCGCCTTCCCACCGCCGCTCCCCTCTCTCCCTCCCTCCAGCGCGCAGGACTCGAGGTCAGGGGGCGAGAGCGGCTCCTCAGGGTTGGTGGGTGCAGACACGGGCTTCGTCATCATTGTGGGAGTTGCAGGAGATCTTCGGGTTTGGAGGGGGGTCGGGGGGGGGGT